ATTAATTCACAGCTACTTTGGGATTAATCAGATTAAAAATATTAATCATTTGACAGCCCTAGTTTTAATAAAACCTTTTGTAGGCCGAAAYTGATTTATTAAAACCTTGTGCATACACTTAAGACTACTTCTTGGTTAAACTGTAAAAGTAGATTATACCAGCAACGTCTTTCTATTTTTACCAACAGTTGCAGAAGGAAATTCTGACACTTTTAGTGAGAAACCACTTGGAAAGAACAAACCAAAAAAAAAAAAGCTTTTGTAAAAAGTGCCACCTACCAAAAATATCAAATTAGCACTGTTGTGCAAATAATTTCAGCACTTACTGTCTAMAATGTGGTTTCCACCATCATTGTGTGAACGAACCCAAAAAGGATAGGTCACATTGTTTGCACATCCAGCATTYGTTGGTTCTAAAATAGCACCGCATCATATGGAGAGAGGTGTGATTGCTCTCTGTTCTGCGGTGATAGCTCATCTCAGACAAGCTGATAACAAGATGAGTCACATTTCCCGTTAAGGAGCAGGTAAAAAGGCTTTTATGCGTACATGTGTATGTGTCAGCTTGTTCCTCGCACAGCGTCTGTTCAGCCCCCTGAACAGGTGCGCTGTCTGTTTCTATTCTTAGTCTGGAGCAGGGAAGTATTTGACAACAGTCTGGATTCATGAGCTCTCTCGTTCCGCCAGATGTAGTTGTGAACGAATGGTTGGGTTGATTTTCGCATTAATTCACATTAATCCCATTACTGGAGCCGTACTGTACCTCCAAATTGAAGGAGAGGACCACATCCGATTTGGACAGGGTGTTCTCGTCCTCTTGGCCCATGTCGATGATGGAGGTGTTGTGCCCCCGCTTCAGTTTCTGGAGTTTAAACTCCCCACCTTTGGACACGGGCATGCTTTCTAGATTGGCCATCAGCTGATTGACGGAAGACTTAAGCTCCTCGATGTACATGGCCTCCATCTCTTTAGACACAAATTTGGGAAACTTCCCACCCTGGGGAAAAAAAGGGACAGTCAATACTCTTTAGAAGACTGAAGCTGACAAAATAGAAAGAAATATTGTAGAGGGGGGAAGAACTCATTATATTAAATGAACAATACAACAGTTGAATGTTTGGTGTCACTTCCTGTTAACTACTTTTAGGCCATTTTTAAAAATTGCTTTTTAGATCTAGTTTTTGATATAAACTTGAATACACATCCAAAGATTTATTTATATTAATAATGGCAGCAGAATGGAAGCTCTCACACGCTGTTAATTCAAGTTACACCATATTAGTAACATATTAACAAAGCATAATACAACAATCTGAGGCTCGACCCCTGCAGAGGCTGACTCACCCTGGCAATCTGGTCCGCCATCTGAAGACGACCATCTAGTTCTCTTCTGATCTGAGCAGCCTGCTCGTCCAGATTGTCCAGCTAATGAAGAACAGAGAGAAGAAGGTCAGTTAGATCGTTTCACAGACATGAAACACTCAACATATACTGAGGTTAGCATTAAAGGTTGTCTCCCAGAATTTCATTCTCACAATCAAATGTAAAAAATATTTTTATTTAAAATATTCAAAATAATGTTTGTTTTAATATATTGGTAAAAAAAACTTTATCCACACCCTCAAATTCCATTTTATTTTTTTCACATTGTTCTGCTGGAGTTGGGCATTATTTCTCTGTGATCCCGCGAATATTGTGCAGGTAGAGTGGATGAATGAGTGAATAGTCCCACAAAGTGTTGGTTCTTTCTCATTTTTATATACTGCAGTGAAAATGGCTGAAAGAGCAGCTTGGAACAATGCCAGCCCCTGCAGAGAGGTCCAACCTGCTGAAGGATCTGAACAAGAAGACACAAGACAAAGACTCTGGCTACCTGAACTTCTGCTGAACTCTGGCGAGCAGTCTAAGACTGAGACTGAAGATGGCCAATCCTGTCCTGAAAACCCAGCTGTCTGTCTCTCACACACCTCCACACATCCAACAGTTCATCCCAGGACAGCCAAGCTCACCCCCCAGGAGATCAACGATGTATCGCAGACCTCCAGCTGATCCAATAAGAAATAAAACTGGTAACGACCCACAAAAATCGAAYATAGTAATTCACTGTTAGGAAGCAGWTTTTGATAGATGTTTTCATTACAGTATTGTTGTATTTGTGCCCCCTTTCACTTCATGTACATATACCACCATGCCACTATACCACCATGCATATATGTACATGTACATACATGTGTGTGTGTGTGCGTGTGTATATATATATATATATATATATATATATATATATATATATATAGTGTGTGTGTGTATGTAGGTATATATGTATGCATGCATGTGTGTGTAAATGTGTATGTGCCTGATTGTGTGTATAGGTGTGTGCGTTTTGTGTATATTAATTAACGAGGTTATAATTATTGTCCGTAGGTGTGGATGTGTATATGGTAAATGGTACTGAACTTATAGAGYGCTTTTCAAGTTCCTCCGGACCCCAAAGCGCTTTACACTAACAGACATTCACCCATTCACACTCACATTCACACACTGATGATGAAAAACTACACTGTAGCCACAGCTGCACCGGGGCACACTGACAGCTGCCATGCACCGGCGCCACCGGACCCTCTGACCACCATCAGCAGGCAAGGTGGGTGAAGTGTCTTGCCCAAGGACACAATGACTGAAACGGCTGGACGGGGGATCGAACCAGCGACCTTCCGGTTCCAGGATGACTCCCCTAACCACTCCGCCACAGCCGCCAATGTGCGTATATGTGTTTATATATGTGTGCATGGGTATATGTACATACATCTGTTTAAGTTTGGTTGCTGGGTGTTTGTTCTCTTCATTTGCTGATGGTCAGATGTCGGGTGTGGTGTCCTGTGTGTTATTGGTGTTCATTTCACATGTTGTATAATTTCTTTCGGTTTCTCTCTTTACTGTTCTTATATTTCTCTTCTACTTTTTCTTTTTCTTCCTCACTATAGTATTAAAAAAGCCACTGATGATGCAGAAATTAAGAAACTAACATTCAGTTTTGTTTTCAACTGAAGGGGCAAAAAAAAAAGGAAAAAGAAAAAAAGGAAGCAGTTTTTGATAGATATTTTCATTACAGTATTGTTGTATTTGTGCCCCCTTTCACCTCCTACTCCCTCCATTCCTCCCTCAACACACTAATGATCACACGATTGTCACAAGGCCTCCACAACCCTATACCYTTGCTTGATGTCTCTGGATCTTCTAACTTTTGATACGAAGCACTGCATTGTTTTGTAATTACCACAATTTATCTTGCCATGTGTGCGCTCTGTTTCCTGCTGATCACACAGAACTGTGAGCGCTCTGTGTGCTGAACCTCCTTTTTATATTCACACCTGGCTCTCTTTTGCTTTTGGGATTCCCATCTTTCCTCTCATTTCCAATTTTTTTCAAATCTTCTCTTTTCCAAATTTACTAGAAATATTTATTGGCTTTTTGATCTGGGCTCTAGAACTCACCAGAACTTTGTGKAGCTATGTGGAACTAACAAAACCTAGCATAGCATAAAAATAAGGAAACTTGTGTTTGTTAGATTGTTTCTTTGTTGTAACAAATCTTATACCRTTGGAAAGCCTGTTGATTTCCATTTTCAATGGTGTCACATTTGTAAGGAACATGCATTTGTGGGATGAGCAGTAGAGCTGAGTATGTGGGATGTACACAAGAAAAAATTTGCCAAATCCTCTGTCATTGCCAAACAGCTATGTTTTCCTGTTGACTGAGCTTCTGGTCCCCCCCCCCCAGGAGATGACAACCAGGTGCCTGCTCTAATTGCCAAGAAGCATTGTTACAGCAAAGAATCTACCAAACTCAGCTTTCCTTTTTTGTGTTAAGTATATTAGAGCCTCACACCTGCTAGGTCAGGAACATACACTCTTTAATGGTTAACCCCTCCTGTAACAACCTGAACAAACTCTTCCACCCACCTAACCATCATTCCCACTTCCAGCCCCCCAACATCTCATTACAAAACGAGTAACAAAAAAAGATCTTTATGCCTGAAGGGGCAACATCGGTGTCTGCTGTTTTGTCATAGTGAGGAGCTGTTAAAATAATCATAAAATTAACCGTCTTCATGAGACCCTTAAAAACACACCTGCTCCAATTGTTGAAGGGTTTCAAAATCTTACACCTACATATTAAGAAGGCCTGCAATATGCTTTTACAGCACCAGATGGCCCTAGACTTACTTTTGGCTTCACAAGGAGGTATCTGTCACATCACAGGGTTTAGTGCTGCACCTCCGTTCCTCACAGAACAGGAAAACATGACCTCTGTCACYCACCGCTTGAACTCTCTGCTAGCTGACCTCAGGGCTCAGGACACTTCTGGTGTCTGGGACCGGTAGTCCTGGCTCACCTTTGGAAGGTGTTTGACTTTAAAGATTAATAACACCCACCTCAGTTTTTCTTGTTATCCTTTTCCCTGCACCTTATCATTCAAGTCATCAAAAGGTGTATTATTTCATGATAACCATCCCACTTCTCTCCAATATGAGCTTCTTCCTTTATCTGACCCTGGCTTCTTCTTACTCCCTCTTATTACTCTGACAGCGTCATCTTGATGTAAACAGATTATAAATTATATCTCTCTTTAGGCTAATGTTTCCTCATTTGTTTCTTTGTCACACACTCAGAGACTTCTGACTCCCAAAAATAGCTGCCTTGCCATTTCATTAGTGTATACTTAGTACATTTTCAATGTACTCGGTGTACAAATGTTCCCTAATGAAGTTTACTACCCTCTATTCCTCTGATGAAACTTAGCATGTACTTCTGTGTTTAATCTACCTGTTTGTCATCATGTATGATCAGAAAAGAAGAATGCAGAAGAAAAATTACATCGTGCTATGATGAACTGCAATAAAATAAAATTAAATATGTTTGTGGATGAGAAGTGTATTAAAAACTACTCATTTTGACTACAATGTCATAAATTCATTATATTTTGACTTCTGAACTCAGWTTTTTTTTCTTTTAAAACTCCAGAGACTCTGATGCGTAAAAATCACTGGATTTTCTTTTTAACGCTACAGGACAAAGCTTGAGCTGAACATTAGAGCAGAATTACAGAAATCAGGACTTGCAACTTGAAAACTTTTGGAACTCGGAGGCAAATGGCCGAGGAGAACAGCGTATCTTGAAAAAGCCCCGGTGGATGTACAGTAGTTATGTTGTTGCGAGTTCTGTCGAACTGGTATGGCTTTTTAATGCTTTAACCTTGATGTGGGCAATGTCTCTGTAACCTCACGCCATGTTTTCAGCTGCAGCTGTTGGCGCCAAAAACATAAAATAAAGAAAACACTGAACTCGCACCAAAGAAATAAGCATTTCAGTAAAAAGAAAAAAAAACTAAGGAATTAGTTCATACATGAGTAATTCAATAGTTCCTTTTCTTTATATTCAGTGTATCACCTGTTTGTCTCCCAGCAGTTGTGGAAATGATTCTGAATCATAAATCACTTATTTGTATGCTGGTTAAGTATTTAAAGTAGTTTCTTCTCTGATATTATCTTTTTAATTTATTGGAGCAGAAACTTTTTTCTTTTTTGTTATCCGGGGAAGTTATTGATGAAGATAATAAAACCAGAAGACAAACACTCTTACGTACCAAAAATCTGTTTTTGTTTATGTGGTAAACACCAGACGGACACGAACGAAGCCTTGGTGGCTAATTTGAACACGACACTATGTGAGTGTGGATTGATCTAATTATAATTGCCTGTCATGGTTTCAAATTTTTTATCCATATTGATACAAGCCTGTGCTCTTTGTTTGATATGACTTGTGTTCATTTAAAACAAAGTTTCTAAAGTCAAAATGTGCTATTTATTTCACTTTTTTTGGTTGTAATTTTTGTCTTCTCAGTGAAAAAACGACCCCTTAGGAAAATGATTTAATTAGGATAGTTTGTGCTACATGAATAATTTCCCACAAGACACAGTTAAAATCAAGCAGTAAAATATCTAAAGCTGTTGCTGTATAAGAGGAATCCCTAAATATTTTCACTGCTTTAATTTTAGCATCTTGTGGAGAACTAAAAATGGCTGCAGAGCAAAAGGCGCCTAATAAGATAATTACAGGTTTTCCAAGAATATTTCAATTCAGACCACCACTTTTTTTAGACTGGTGATATCAATGTAACATCAAAGCAGACATGGTGTACAGAATCAATGCAAAATTTAACTTTAACTTTAATTAATGAAATTATCTTCTATTACTAATTATGTTATTTATTGTTTGTATCAATTTCTATCTGAAAAGAGAAAAAAATATCTACATGATTTTTTAAATATTTTTATTAAGTTCTTTTGGCAAAGTTGAAACATGTAAATAATAGCTTAAATGTGAAAGGTTACCTAGGACTAGAAAAATGTGGAATTACAAGTAAAT